ATATTGGGCAGTAATGAAAAAAAATATACTACTAACTTTCCCTCCCCCCCCTCCTCCTCATTTTTTGTTTATCAGTTTTCCTCCCCCCTCTTTCTCTCTCTCTCTTTAAAAACAAAACACAAGTTAATTAGCTCTCTAAGTAACCTACGGTGACGAAAAATAGTGAAGAAAATAAATTTCGTCACTAAATAAGAATAATCCGTGATGAATTATAAAATTTTGTCACATATAATAAAAAAGTAAAAATAATAGGTGACGAAATTTACTTTCGTTAATAAATACTTTATTTTAGGTGAGAAAAAATTAAATTTCGTTACCAAAGATTTTCTCTCTAATTTTTTTGGGTGGGGGCAAAATTTTGAGACTTTTGGTGAGAAAAACAATTTGTCACCAATTATAAAATTATTAGTGAGGAATATATTTTCGGCACCAATAATTTTAAATATTTTTTTTTGAAAAATTTGATTTAAAATATTTTGAAACTATTTGATGAAAAATATACATTATAACAAAAACACATTTTAGTGACACTATGGCATGTTTTTAGAAAATGTTACAAAAATAATATTTGGTAACATGTTTTAGAAAAAAAAAAAAAAACTACAGAACCACAAACATATAAGGCTCTAGTGACATTTCAATAAAAAAATCTCACATCAATTTTATGGCATTTTATAAAAGAATGGCACAAGAAATTGTTTCAGTGACATTTATCAACAGATGACACTAAACTTTGGTAGCAATGGCATTTTTTAAAAAATGTCACTAAACTAGGTAGGTGCAAGTTATTTTTTATGGCATTAGGTGAAAAGTGTCATAAACAAATATTTTATAATATTTTGAGAAATGCCACTAAGTCAAAAACTTTCCAAGCTATCTAATTGCATTTTTTGAAAAAATAAAAAATGCTAATATATTTTCAAAATTTTTAAAATGCACAAAATAAATAAAAACAAATAAGTTAAACTGAATATAACATGTTTTTTTTAACCATACTTGCCACATGTACAAAATTGATTAACGGCTTTATATGACTTAAAAGAATAAATAAAATTTCAAATTGCTCTCCTGTACAATGATACTTTTTTTTGAATTTTAGTTCCTATAATTTCAATTAACTCGATTTTGACTCTAAATATTACCGCCTAATTTGAGTTTATGTTTAATTTTAGTATTATTAATTTTTTATTTATATGTATTACAAGCACATACACCAAACAGAGTGACCAAAGACCAAACATTTGCTCTCGCCCTCTCTCTCATAGTTAGTCGCTCACCGTTTATGATTAATTTTAGTATTATTAATTTTTTATTTATCTGTAGTACAGGTACATACATCAAACAGAGTGACTAAACACCAAACATAGTCATGCTCTCCCGCTCTCTCTCATAGTCGCTCACCCCTGGTCAGTCATCGTTGCTCCCCGTCTCCTCGGTTCCCATCGACTTTCAGGTCTCTTTCTCTCTCTCTCTCTCTCTTCCTTTATTTTCCCATTTCACTCTAGAGCTAGGGTTTTTCTTTTTTCTTTTTTTTTGATGTTGTAGGATTTTTATTTTTGTGAAATGAGTACATGAGTTTTGATTTTTGTTCTAGATTTAGGGTGTTTTGAACTAATTATTGGTGTGATAGATGAGATGATTTATTCTGTGAAATGATTTAGAGTTTTTGAATTTCAAGTTGAAGATATATTGAACAAACAAAATGGATTGTAGTTTTAATTATACAAAATTTTCTGTCGATTCTTAATATTAACTCCAATACTAATTTAACAATGATTTTTTCTCATTGCTAAAATTGTAGTTCTATTTCACTGCTCCTAATTTTTGTCTATTTCATTTTCACTTCATACACTATATACAGCAGCATAAGTGGGTCTTTCTTTTTTTCTTTTTGACAAAGATCTCCTATTTAATATCACGTCCCTCCAAAGTGTCTCCAAAATTCATAATTGATTGGTTCCACAATTCCCTCAACCCACAATATGAGACCTCACAACACTCAAAAAAACAGCAGCCTCATGCAACGTGCAAAACAGAGTATATATACAAATATATATAAATAGTTAATCAATACACTCTCAATATGGTCAGTGAGAGGTGTGCAGTATAACTTCCTCACAACACTCAAACCTCTATGAAATGGTTTAACACTCATAATAGCTCCTTGTATAAACAAAACATTTGGAAACACTCAATATATCTTCACAATCACCCAACCCACCTTTAATGAACTCCCATCCCTCATTTCTCTTGCCAAATGATTGGGGCTATTCTTCAATATTGAATCTGGCAGTTTCCATGTATCAAGGAACCACCTATCACCTGGATGGCTTTTCAGGTTAGAAACGGATAACATACGGAATCTTACCATGTCAATAATATGCTTGACAACCACTTCCTCAGGGAGGAATTCATCATCAAATAAGTGACAGCATTTTTTTCAAAATCCCTTCGTTAGAATAGCATATGATATCAAAGGAGCTCCTAGTTTCAGAGTAAATTTTCTGTCGATTCTTAATATTTACTCCAATATTAATTTAACAATGATTTTTTCTCATTGCTAAAATTGTAGTTCTATTTCACTGCTCCTAATTTTTGTCTATTTCATTTTCACTTCATACACTATATACAGCAGCATAAGTGGGTCTTTCTTTTTTTATTTTTGACAAAGATCTCCTATTTAATATCACGTCCCTCCAAAGTGTCTCCAAAATTCATAATTGATTGGTTCCACAATTCCCTCAACCCACAATATGAGACCTCACAACACTCAAAAAACAGCAGCCTCATGCAACGTGCAAAACAGAGTATATATACAAATATATATAAATAGTTAATCAATACACTCTCAATATGGTCAGTGAGAGGTGTGTAGTATAACTTCCTCACAACACTCAAACCTCTATGAAATGGTTTAACACTCATAACAACTCCTTGTAACCTGCACAATAAACAAAACATTTGGAAACACTCAATATATCTTCACAATCACCCAGCCCACCTTTAATGAACTCCCATCCCTCATTTCTCTCGCCAAATGATTGGGGCTATTCTTCAATATTGAATCTGGCAGTTTCCATGTATCAAGGAACCACCTATCACCTGGATGGATTTTCAGGTTAGAAACAGATAACATACGGAATCTTACCATGTCAATAATATGCTTAACAACCACTTCCTCGGTGAGGAATTCATCATCAAATAAGTGACATCATTTTTTTCAAAATCCCTTCGTTAGAATAGCATATGATATCAAAGGAGCTCATAGTTTCAGGATTATAGCCATGAGAGGATATTCAAAACTTTTATATTGGTGTTAGTTCTATTTATTCATTTTTTCTTTTCATTTAGAAAATATTTGGGCAAATTATAAATTCACCCCTTGTGGTTATGGAAAATGCATCCTACCCCTCGAGGTTTTAAACCACATTACTATTTTCTTCTTCATAAAGACTTAGGTCAACTAACAAAATTGGATGATGTCAACAATTTTTTTTTTTTTTTGAAAATATCTGTTTTACGCATAGCTCCTACCGCTCCGTCTTTTTCCTATTCTCTTCGTTTCTTAGCCACATCCCCCTAGATAATCCAATGACGTTTTTATATAATTTTAATTTTATACACTCACTTATACATTTTTATACAACTCTGCCAATGATTGAAAATTGCAAATGCAATGTATAGCCCCCACCACCATTGTCTCATCTCTTGGCTTATGTTTACTTCTAGGTTGACAAGTTGTTTGTTCTGGCAATTGGTTAGTTTTATATACTCCTTATATTCTTAGAAGCTAGGTGGAATATTTGCAGTGGTCTCTCAGATTCTTCCATGTGCCTTGCTTGGATTTGCGTATGCAGATCTTGTCACCTCATCCGAGCTAGACCTTGTTCAAGTGGTGCTAATTTTACCTCCCACAGTGAAACTTTCATTCCCATCTTTTATATCTTTCATTCTACTTTCTTCTTCTTTCCCCCATCACCTCGCAATTCAGTTGTGAAACTAAGTGGGTTCTGAAGGAGATGTGCATAGAGCAACTGCTAGTGCTGGTTTGCGGTTCACGTGATTGCTGCATGGCTTCTTTATTTCCAGGCTTAAATGGATTTTTGTTTGTTTGTTTGAGTCAATCAAACCTGCGTTTTGGATTAAAGGTTAGCAGATCTTTTTATAAAATATTTGGGAGAAAAACAAAATAAATGTTGTGTAGGGGAAAATGTTGCAAAAACCTCCAAGGATAGATCTAGAGTGAATGAAACGAATGCATCCTTAACGTTGAAGAAAGAATAAGGTCTCCTTGATATTTTTTACTAGTGTCATATGCATGCATGTAAAGTTACTGCAATCCTTATTTTCCTGGTATTTTGTTTTTAATCTAATGAAGCTGGTGGTTTTGTCAGAAATAATTAAGTGGACTGGCCTTGGGACCTCGTAGCTTTCTGCTTTGGAAACTATCATGAGGTTTGTTGCTCTCACTCTGGATATATCAGTCTTAGTTCATTTGGTTGAGATAGTCTGAATTTTATGGACATAGTTTAACTTGGGATTGGAATGCAATGGACTGTTAGGCCTGAGATAAATAGTCACTGGAATATTTGACTAGAAATGATATGTATTTGACTATTAGTCTGATTCTCATTTTTCTAACCAAACGATGGACTGGTAAATCTGTTGGATATAGAGTCCAATCCCATGCCTTAGTCCAATGAAGCAAACACCTGTTATAATTTTATTGTTCGATTTGTGGTCCTGAGTTGAGTAATTATCATACTCTGATGAGCCATGCTCGGTTTATTCACCATATTTTAGACATCTTAATACACAACCTTCTGCTATTTTGATGTTTCTTGAGCTAAGGGATGATTATTGATCAACTTTTTTCTGGCTTACATATGTTTTTATATTCCTATTTAGATGGCACTTAGACTAAATGAAGGAGATGAAGTAGAATTGGGCCCGTTCCTGCAACATGGACTACCATAGAGGAGGAACTTTATATTCAGTTAATGGTGAAAGAGGTTCACAAGGGGAATAGATCATCAACCACCTTTTCAAGGAAAGGTTGGAAACAAATTGAACAAGAGTTCTGTGAGAAAACCAACAAGAGGTACAACAATTCTCAGTTTAGAAATAAGTTTAACCAGCTGAGAACCCGTTTTAACGATTTTAGTAAGCTGTTGAAGGAACCTGGGTTTACTTGGGATCCCGTGCTCAGTACTGTAACCGCAACTGATGCTGTTTGGGAATCATACGTAAAGGTGAACACTTAAATTTTAAAATTTTGAAATTGAAGCCACTTTTCTTTTAACTTCACTGAATCACAGCTGTGTACTTTTTAATATAGGGAAACAAAAATGTGAAGAGATTTCGGAAAAAAGGGTGCCCAATGTTTAATGAGTTAGGAATCATATTTGGGGACCCAACATCAAGTTACAAAGATGCATTTCCATTAGCTTAGTATCCAATGGTCAATGAATATAAATTGGATGTAGAAGATGAGTGAACAAATGCTACTCCATTCGCTTTCCCAAGTGACAGTAGCAACGGTAGAGATTTTCCCTCGCAAAGTACTAGACACCATCACCAACGATCTTCCACTCCTACGAGCCATCTTAGAGGGAAGAGGGAGGCAAGAACAGCAGTGGAGGGTGAGGCATTGAAGGAATGGACTGAAGCTACAGTTCCCTCGGGGATGTCTGATAGAAAATGGGCTGAAACTAGTAAGGTAATGACCCCAACTTTCCATAAACTTGAGACATCTTCCCAAGCTAGTCCATTCTCAATTACCAATTGTGTCAAGTGTCTAGAAGCGATTGAAGGAGTGGATTCAAGTACCTACATAAAGGCAATCAAGATGTTTAAGGATTTAGATTGGAGGGAGATGTTTATGGCAATGTCTCTCGAAAGAAGATTGGTTTGGTTGACTAGCTTAGAGTAGTTTTGCTTGCTATGATCTTAGGTTTCTTAATCTATGGAACATGCTGAGATATTTCAACATTAATATGCATTCAGTACCAACATGTACACTTTCACCTTTTTGTGTGGCACGTAATTCTTAGTCTGATGGGACAGGTTAAGATGTTGGAGCGATAAAAGGTGTAGGAGTTACCTAATCTCAATTTGAACAGAATGTAAAGTGCTTATTATTTAAAAAATGTCGTTATTGATCAAAAACAAAAAATGATGGCTCAAACACACTTTTTTGGGTCTTCAGTCCAAGTTTTAGTAAATTTAGATAGATTATGCCTATCAAATTCGTAGTTTCCAAATAGGAATAGTTTAGGAGCTCTTAAAAGTCCATGTATAGTTGGACCCAATCCTACCTGAATCTATGTGTGCTACCCAATTTATACTTCTACTTCTCTACTGCAATGAGTTAGCATTTAAACCCCCAAAACCATATCTACCTCATCATTTCTCCTAACCCAAAATCATATCTTACCAACCTTAAACCTTTCCTTTTAAATCCTTCAACTCTAACCATGGAGAAGTGGTTTGGAAATACTCTTCTGATTCTGGGGACGCTCGTGATCCTCAGCTAGCCACCTGAAAAAGAATCAACACTCCCGTCGGGGGTGCCGGAATTAGCACTCCGACAGACAAGTTAGTATCTACTCTCTGAATTACTTGTATTTTAAGTAAAGTGTAATAGTTCTCACCTACCTCTTCCTAGCTGATGTTCTTCTATTTATATATTTTCTTTCTTAGGCCTCGGGATTGGGTCCACTTTCAATTCGCTATTCGGCTTCAACTGTAACAAACTGCCTTTCACTCGACCCCTTGCTTGACCGGCTATTGGGCCGAATAAGATAAGGTTCGAGCGTGTGAGATGACGCCGAATGCTATATATTTCGACCCAGAGTTCGACTATTCAGCATATCTACGACTCCCAATATTCAGCCCTCACAATTGCCCCCTAAGCACTCCACTAACGACAGTTGGTTGGAGTGTTTGGTTTCGGACTCGAAAAGTCAGAGCCGAAATTCGACGGCTGACCTCATTCCAACGCAACTGTCTGGGCACACGCTTCGCGGTTATCACTTCAACTTCCCGCCTCTTCGTACACTTCTATTTATTGTGATTTAAAATTTGGATGTCTTTTCAAATACATATACACTTTTAGACACTCGTCGTAGGATTGCTTTCTGAATTACCTCTGTAACTTCATTTCTTCACTATCCTCTTCGTCTCTTGTAAGTTTTCTCCCCCTCTGCCCTGAATCTTTTCTCTTGCTTTGTTTTTGGCTTGGCACGATCTTATAGACTGAACGAAATAGCAAAACATTTAAAAGATCTCCTGTCCTCAGATCGAATCTCTGGCTTCCAATGCCATTTCTCCATTCCTGATGACGTCCACTTGTCACTTGTGATAGACGACACCCTTGATATGAAGAGGGCTGATGAAACCACGATTGTCTTCCCTCTCTAGTCAATCGCAAATGGTGGGGTCCGTTTTCCCCTCCACCCATTCCTTAGGGCTATGCTTTGCCATTGGGGTTTAATCCCTTCCCAACCCAATGTTAACTTTTTTAGAATCGTAATGGGGATTATTGCACTAAACTGTCGCCTTAGGATTAACCTCAGCATTCTTGCTATTCGGCATTGTTATGCCTTGGCCAAGTCTTCTGGTCGGCACGGGCGTTACTTCCTTAGGGCCAAGGACACCGACCATCAACTAGTGACTATGCTTTCCAGTCCTGGGAAGCGAGTCGATGATGTTATGGTCGTTGTCCAAGGTAATTGGGAATTCGACAAAGGCAAGGATCGCCTCAATCCTATTCCTAGACGGAGGGGAGAACCAGGTGGCTGTGTAGCTTCTTTTATTTGTTTTTTGTTATTTTCATAAAGCTTCATTTCCGAGACCTCATGGCTTTGCTTGTGCAGGGAACGATTTGAAGAAAGTCCTAACTTCAACCAATGACGCCGTTCTTTCGAAAATCAAGGTTGCGCTCAGATATTTCGGCCGGCCGAGTCTTCAAAAACAGAGGAGGGAGGCCCACGTTCTTCTCCGCTACGAGCCGACCTATACGACCTTCTTGGTGGAAAAGAACATCCCAGTTCTGAAGGGTGAGGAGTTTCTTACCGCCCTTATCCTGACTGATTTCAAGAATTTGAGGCAAGTCGGTCTTGGGGGGTCCGATCGAAACGACCAGTAGTTGAGGTTGTCGAGTCCGATCAGTCCGAAATCGAAGACGAGGCTTTGCAGTTAGCCTTTGAGGAAGCCTACCTCAACTCAGCTGAACCTCCGTCCACTTCAGGCTGAGAGGACCTTCCACTCGATGACATTTTTCACGGTCTGGAGGACCTTTCCGGCGCTTACCCCGTACAGACAGATAAGCCCGATTCAGCGAGGGCTGCTCGACTCGCTTCTATCCGGATTCATGCCGAACTTCTCCCAAGCTAGTTTTCTCCTCTCCTTTCCTTTTTTCTTCAACTCCAAAACCCTAAACAAAGTGTTTTGAAAGATTTTCCTCTCTTCTTGCCGAAGAAACTGATTCTTTGCCCTGCACATCTCTCAACACCGAGCAAACCATCAGTAGTGCCCAAGTCTTAAGGGCGGTCAAAAATGGGGTGTCTACAACAAGGCGTTGAAGTTAGCCTTTGAGGAAGTCGGCCTCAACTCAGCCGACCCTCCGTCCACTTTGGGCCGAGAGGACCTTTCTCCTTGACGACATTTTTCACGGTCTAGAGGATCTTCTCGGCGCGTACCCTGAAGATATGGCTGGGTTAAGCCTCACACAACTTGCCAAGAAGGCGAACGCGGAAAGGATGGCGGCACGGCGAAGGGCAGAGGCCATTGGAGCTGGAGTGCCTCATGCCACCGAATCTTAGCCCTCCCTGCCTATTAGCGAATCCCAGCCCTCCTTGCCTGTTATTAAGGAGGGAATGGCAAAAAATCGAAGTGCCGAGGCCGAGTTGGTTGTGCAGGCCGATCAAGAGGCTGAACAAAGAGCAGAAAAGCGCTCTACCGAGGTTGAGGCCGGCTCAGAAGATAACCGCGCCAACAAACAACCTCATTTAGAGGGATCAAATGTGTTCATGCCTTTCGTTATTCAACCAGAGATAAAAAAATACGCCGATCCCCTCTGATGCTTCGGTAATTAAAGATCCAGCGGCTGTGCTCAGCATGGCTACGTCCGTTTCACTGTCGGCTGATAAGGCGGCTTTCTGAGCAGAGCCGGATCTGGTTACAATAGCATTGGCCGCGCAATCGGCATTTTTGGTATAAATCTTGACTTTGTCTTTTCACTTTATGCAAATACTACTTTGGTCTTAACTTCCTGTTTTGCAGACCGTTGGAAGGATAGCGGAGATGGGCCATCGCCATCATGACGCCATCGAACAGCTCGGCCGTCTTCAAACGAAAGTTGAGGGCCAAAGGAGCAAGGTCGAGTTTGAGGATTTATGGGCGAAGATGGAAGGCGCGCGGGTGGAAGCCGAGATGGAGAGGGCAGGGAATGCGGATGAACTGAGATTAGCCGCCGAGAATAGGGTAGACGCAAGTGAAGAGGCGTTGAAATTGGCCTAGGAGGCGGTCTCCAAACTAGAGGCTGAGTTGGAGGAAGTAAAGAAGGCGAAGGAAGTAGCCGACTTGGAGGCTTCTAAGGCTTTTGAGGCCAGGAAAAGTGCTGCCTTCACCGAATATGTAGACGAAGTCCCCAAATTTGAAAATAGGGGATTCAAATGCTGGCTCAAAGCCCTTGCTGCTGCTGATGTGACATTGGCTATGCCAATTCCATACGAGCAAGCGAATATTAAGCCACTGGAGTCTGACTCCGAGGACTAATTTGGGTGATACCTTTTTGTGCTTGTTTTTGTTTTAGGAGTTTTCGAATGCATTTTTATAGCTTTTTGTTTGGTGATTTTCATGTGTAAAATGGCTACAATTTGTGCTGAATTTCCTAATGAAAATTTCCTTTTTTGCCTTGTTGTTATTTGTGCTAAATTTTGTTAATGATTAATGATATTGCCGTTAATTGCAAAATGGCTACACTGTGTTTTTACTACCAACTATCGATCGGCATTAGGCTTAAATACTTGGCCGATCAGATTAATAAATCTGCCCTTGTCCTAGCCAGTACACGAGCTTCATTAGCCGAATAGGCCTAGTTCGTGGGATGGCTGCGGCATAAATCGATCGACATTGGGCTTAGATACTTGGCTGATCTGATTAATAAATCTGCCCTTGCCCCACCCAGTGCACGAGCTTCATTAGTCGAATAGGCCTGGTTCGTGGAATGGCTGCGGCATAAATCGATCGGTGTTTGGCTTCTGGCATTTGGCATTTGGCATTAATGACATCGCCTCGGGGGCGCTGCATACATATGAATAAATGGGCTGATTTCACGCCAGTGGCTCCACTTATTTTTATTCAAACTCAATTTAAACTAGCTTGGGACAAGTGCAAATGTCAACCAGACTGTTTTTCAACAGCAGAGGAGAAGGACGAACACTAGCT